AAAACGTAAGGGGTAACATCGTCATAAATCGAAAAAAATGAAATTTTCATTTTTCGACGAAAACGTAAGGGGTAACATCGTTCTAATTCGAAAGAAAAAAGTTTTAGTTTTCCACTAAAAACGTTTTCGTCATAAATCGAAAAAAATGAAATTTTGGGTTTTCCGTCAAAAAAAATGAGAGGTAACATTTGCGTTTTCAGCCAAAAACGTAAGGGGCAACATCGGCCCAAATCGAAAAGAATGAAATTTTAATTTTTTGCCAAGACGTAAGGCATCGTCTTTAAATGAAGAAGAAAGTGTAGTTTTTATCTTCTGCTCTACACATTATTTCGTGGAAAAATTCTTAAATAGATCAAACACAAATTTTAATTTTACTACATTTAATTTATTTAAAAACTAATTTCCAAATCACAATTCACACAAAGATGTTAAATCTTTTTAAAAACCTCTACCTTATTATAACTATTACATAACAAGCATATTCTTTTAAAGGTTTTTTAAAAATACCGCAGTGTTCAAAGCCCGCGACGTGGATTTTCCACTTTCATATCGTACCTATCTCATTAAAATGATTTGAAAAGAAATTTTTACTTTAGCTTTTTTTATCTAATTCTTCTTTCTTTAAATTTTTTTACAGATCTACAGTCTAGAGTCAATTATACGATGCTGAAGAATGTGCACTGGGCGATCATTTCTGGCATGACTTCAAATAAACACCAGATATATTAATTTATATTTATTTATATATAATAATACTAGAACAATAGGTTTTGGTCCTTCGTAATTCGTCTGCAAACAAACAAAGACAGTACGTATATACTCTTCAAATGCATTTAGCATTGGTATACAAGTATTGTACAAAAGCCTTAATACGATCTTATAACTGTTGTGCAAAAGTTCTCTTTGTTTATATTATTAGATGCTACTATTGTTTTGTATAATAATTCCGTCTCTGTTCTGCATAGACGTTCTAAATGCAAGTTCTATATACAACTTTTGTCTCCCTCTTGTTTATGTCTTGTTATGCATTATCAGATGCTGTATAATTCTTAATTGAATTGTAAAAATATACAATTAAAGTAATGCATATTTACCATAGACAAGTCGTCTTCTCTTCGCCGCGTTAAGGCGCAAGAGATCGACTTTTGGGAAGGCGGCAGAATGCTCTGAGCTTTGCTCGCGTCTGTCGCTTCTAATCAATGTTGGGCTAACACCCTTCCTGGTTATTCCCCCCTGTCCTCCTCACTTTTTCCTTGTTCTTTCTTCTTATTCTTATTTGCTTCTTTCCTTCTTCTGTTCTTTTTTTCTGTAGTTTTTTTTTTCAGTGAAATTTTTTTGTAAAATTTTTTCTGTAAAATTTTTTTGTGAAATCTTTCTGTAAAATTTTTTTGTGAAATTTTTCTGTAAAATTTTTTTGCCGAATTTTTTTATAGAATTTTTTTGTAGAATTTTATTGTAGAATTTTTTTTATAAAATTTTTTTGTAAAATTTTTTTGTAGAATTTTTTTTATAAAATTTTTTTGTAAAATTTTATTGTAAATAAAAAAAAATTTTTTTCCAAAAATACTTTTTTGTATAATTTATTCCAAAAATTTTTGTTGTTTTTGTAAAATTTTATTGTAAATAAAAAAAAAATTTTTCCAAAAATATTTTTTTGTATAATTTATTCCAGAAATTTTTGTAGTTTTTGTAAAATTTTTTGTAAATAAAAAAAAAATTTTTTCCAAAAATATTTTTTTGTATAATTTGATCCAGAAATTTTTGTTGTTTTTGTAAAATTTTTTTCCAAAAATTCTTGTTGTGGTTTGGGTTTTTGATAATTTTTGTTTATAAACATTTTTGTGTATATAAACATTTTTCAAATTTTTCTGACCATTCCATCCAAAAACGAAAAATGGCCAACTTTGAGGCGGTTTATTGGCGTTCCTAGCGGTCCTAGGACATCGGGACTGGGTCCATTCGATTCCTTGGATCGGCCCCAATCCATTCCAAGTGTAACCATGCCCCTAGGAGGCGTAATACGGCCGCTAGAGTGCTCCAAAGTTTGCGTTTTTGCCAAAAGCATGCATATGCCTTACCATATTTATGGGCAACATTATGTTGCTAAACGCTTTGTATATAAACATTGCAATGCCATCAACATTTCCACTAGTGACCCCAAACCACAAAAACAATTTTTGGAAAAAAATTGTACAAAAACAACAACAAATTTTTGGAAAAATAAATTTTATTTACAGGAAAAATTTTGGAAAAAAATTTTATTTACAGGAAAAATTTTAGAAAAAATTTTTACAAAAACA